CCTTCGCCATGGTACAGCCAATTAGTATAAGTTTGTTCCATTCCCCATTCAAAAAGGTCACCTTGCTTCATCTCGTGCCTTCTGATCACTGTTGTTGCATTTGCGGCATGGACAGCAAATTTTATCTTCCAGCAAATGCCATATATAGAAATTCCTCTACCCCCTTTTCATATTCAGGCAGCTGTCTATCCTGAAGATGCATCCCGCTCTTATCAATTCCCATGTTTCTGTATACAAGCATTACATAAGGTCCATCAACTTCACAACTAATCACAAGTAATCAGCCTCAAGTTCATATATGTTTTTAAGTGCATAAACTAATTAGGAAGCAAAGAACAACGACAAACTTTAAACTTTGAACAATGAATCAAATACACCTCAAAGTTTCTCAATTCCTGTCCCTAGACCACTGAATCTTGACCAATGTACCCTAAACTTCAATCCATATATTTGTAGGCAATCCACTTTCTTTAAGCCAACCAAGTGGAGCAGGTACTGTCCAGATACTCATGCAGATATGGGGAACCAAACAAATAGCCATCATATATAGGGAAAGAAAAAATGCATTGTTCATCTTATTTGCCTGAGCCAGTACAACATCTAAAAGGCAATTCCAGCAGCCAAAAACCACTCGCTCACAAATCGGAAATCATATAATTCCTTGTAACTTGGCATCAGCTTAGGTCCACATAGAGCAAACAAAAGCACCAAACACAAAGGGATAACAAAAAGGCAAGTATCCAACATGATCAAAAGGATTTATATGATTTGCCTTTGTAGCTAACACCAAAAAACACAGAGGTGACATAAAGAAGCTTTAACTAAAGTGAAAAAAGCTGAAATTCCCAACACTTGTTGCCTATTAAGGATAAGCCCTCCACGTCACACAAACCTCTAACCCTCAACTCCCCTAATAGACAGTTGCTTGCATTTTTCTGCTTATAAAAATGACTTATTAGTATATAGTAGTGGGTCCAAAAACAGGATTTTAAAAAATTTCAGAGAGCAGGGTATCGGCATCACCGAAACTTGATGCAAAATATGTTGGATAAAGTTGCACCAAAAGAACAAAAAAAGGTTACTGGATAAAGGGCGTGAACTGTGAACACCCCATGCATGCTGGTGGACATTCCAAACACAAAAATCCAAACGTCATTTCAAGTTCAAGCCATTCCAACAATATTAACTCATGCAAAACAAACAACTCCATTACTTTACAATTTAGCTAAAGAATGCTCAATAAAGCCCAAAAATCAGCTTGATGAAACTTCCACAGTATCCAACTTCTCCATATAACCCCAAAGGCACATGTCAACTGGAACATAAGTAAATATCTGAATGTTGACTAAATGTCCCCAGAGTTTCTCAGCAAACAAACATAACCCATACCATAATAAAGATACAAATGCATCAAATCCAACATAAATCATTCATTTCTCCCACCAACCAAACATAAATAAGACCCAATTCTCTACATTTTTCTAACGTTTTGCTACCATCCAAGAAAGC